GATAACTGCTGAAATGTTTGCGGGGCAAATCTGAGGTCAGTCTGAGCGCTCATGGCACGCACAGTGCCGTACACCTGCAGGCGCCACTGACTCGGACGGTTGTCATGGTAATAAACACCGTAAACAGCAAACGTTCGCGTGTCAGCGCATATCCTATATGAAAAGCATTTTAGGGGGTCCTTGGCTTTTTGGGGACCAAGACGGTCGCCTACCTTTGCCTAATGGGTAAGTCCGCCCCTGCGCAGAAGGGAGGTCTGACTTAGACAGATATTGCTTCGAAAGAAAAATAGGTATTTGTATTTCTTATATGTGATGTCTTCATAATATACATAGAATAAAAATAACTAAACAAGTAGCCTACTTTTAAATGATACTTGTTTAGTTTTATTTGTTATACAATAACGAAGAACTTTCCAAATTTGTTCCCACACAAATGAGGGAAACATATTGGACCTCATTTATCAATCTAGAAACGAGCGCAGATCCGTGCGCACAAATCAACTTACGACAGAGTTCACGTGTGATTCATGAAACATTCGTATGCAGTAGGGATGTGCATCTCATGACTCAGGCCAATGATTCGCATCTCGATGCATAGCCAACGATACGATACATTAAAGATACATATGCGATCTGATTCCGATTCGATTCGATTCAACACTATGCGATTCGATGCAATACGATGCAATGGAGAAAATATGATCACCTTTAACGCCTCGAGGCCTGTTTCATAAAACAAATTTACCAAATAAGCCAGGCTTATTTCAGTTATCTGACTCATCGTCAAATTATTTGGTTCCATAAAGCAAATAACATAGGCCTAGATCAAGCTAGTCACTGTGGCAATTTATGCTGGGAAACTAACTTGGTCTAAAGCAGGTTAACTGTCAGACTAAGCTAACACTGACCAATAGCAATCAAATGATATTACTACTCTCACACATACTATTATTTGACTTGTTTTTTACAGTTTCTAGCCATGCAGCCTTTCTCTCTGGTTGTATTACAGCTGTACCTTTTATAGTTTGCAGAACAGATAGCAAAACATTAGAACATTACAATCTAAAATTGCTCTTTAAAGCATTAAAATAACTAAATTAAAAGTTAAAATAACTGAATTAAAAATGAAAATAAATAAAGAAAATGACTACATTTTAACTGCTATAAGAAACACACATTAACTCATCTGAGCTTAGTAATTAGTACTGAACTAGCTTACATTTGATTTACCTATTACA